TCCCCCCCCAATTAAGGCCAAAAATTTTGCTAATCTGGGAGGGTGGTTGGTTTTTTTTTTCCCCTTTCCCCCCCCCCCCCCCAAATGCTCAGTTGACTTTTATAAAAATTTGTATTTAAAAAATTAAACAGAAGCTGTATTTAAATATTGGTTTGAAAGTGAAAACAGGACAGTGTTGGAGAGTAGCTCACGAAGAAACAATTGGAGTTAGTTGACCTGCTTTGTTGATCTTACGTGCGTTGGGTTTGTTCAAGTTAAAGATGATCTGATTATTGTGATGGGATTATTCCATCTGTTTACCAAGATTTAAACCTCTGGATTGTAGCAAGGAAGGAAACGATTCAGTCACCTCTATGCTGTGAAGCAAAGCATTTATTCTCTGTGCACAAGAAAACCCAACACTGGTCCCACATGACATAAATTACACCCACTTACCGCTCGGCTTCATTATCTCTACAGTAGGGTTAATATATATATATATATATTGGTATAGATTTTACAATTGACGACATGAAGTTGAACTTGTTCTCTTGCGGTCAAAAAATTGTTAAAAGCATTAAAATCCCAACTTGGTGACATTGGTTCAATTTGCTGTTTAGATGAGATTTTTAAAACTTATCACTTTAGCCCCAGTTTGCTGCCTTTACTGCTGTTTGAGTTTGTCATAAGACTCCTAATTTTATTTTATTTCATTTTGTTTTTCCACATTCTGGCTTTTTGTTTTATATTTATATTTTTAACTCGACGTCTGTAATTGAATTAGTTGTTTAGGATGAATGTGTGTGATGAACATCAGTTAGCTCATTCCCAGAATGCAGTTTGGTTTCTGTTGTGCAGTAAAGCTTCTTGAACAAACTAAATACGACTGTTTGGTATTTTTGATTTGAAATGAGCAAAACCCAGTTTTGCTCAAATCTGTGGATTTAAAGAAATCCACAGATTTAAGAGTATTCTTTTGCTTAATAGTTTTCCCAAGCTTTGCAAACGTCCCCCCCCCCCAATAGTTTTTGATCGTTGTTTACATGCACTGCACTGTGGCAAATTGAATTCTTTAGCTCCCTTTAGCCAAAACGTGTTTACATTGTAGTGCTTGCTGGAATAATCTGCCAAGTGTTACATGCTCAGGTATATTTAGTCCGTCTGATTTGAAGATCTGCCTACTGAACTGTGCCATCCATTTAACTAAAACATTTGTCTTGCAAAAGTTTTTGTACTCCAACATTACTCACATCTTCTAGGACAAACACAAAGTTGTCGGTGTATTTTATTAAGGTCTGATGTGAAAGACCAAAAATTGTGCCTAACATAAAATGTGGGAAGAAAAAGATTTTCTTTCAGATCTGAACTTTTTTTAATGCCTTTTATATAAAATCTGGGTCAACCAGTTGCTTTGGGAAGCCACGAAACTGGTAGAAGTGAATAAGAACATATCTGTCATCGATTTCAAGGTGTTTGTGACTTGTGCGCTCAAAACAATCCGATTATGGGAGAGTTGCAAGAGTGTTGAACGTCGCATCTCTTATTAGACCAAAACTGGGCTGAAAATTGTTACCCTACTTTGAGAGACCATGCTTGGTGAACAGCTCACCATCACGAATGCAGCAATAATTTGCAAAGATTGGGTAAATGTCAGTCTTTAGCTGCAACACTTGCAGCACAGAGTGTTGATTCTGGTGTATTTGCCTGATAATACTTCTACTAACACCGTCTGACCTAATGCCAGGTCCGTGGCAGAAAACATTTAAAATCGCTCTAATTGGGTAAAAAGAGTGGTGAAATATTAAATCATGTCCGAAGTTTGAGTACAAAATAGTGAAAAAAGTTAGTGGTGGTTTACATATTTGTATTTATCCATGATAAATCCAAACTTCTACCAGTTACTTTTTGGAGAACGTACTTCTCTGCTCTTTTATTTTTAATTGCATGTGTATGATGACTACTTAAGGCCAAGAAGGGACTGATCCGTTTTACACAAGCAGGATAAAATCTACAAGAAGGGTTAGGCCCAAGTCGGGGAGATTTTAGTTATTTTAATTTAGAAAAAAGTGTATTAACTTGTAGACTCTCAATTATTCTTGCTTTATTTGTTTTATGGCGTGTTTAGATTGAAATATAGTGGATTTGATGTTTTTTCCAAAAGGCTCGAACAAGCCTTTGTTGAAATAACGGCACCTTAAACGCACACACCTCTCTCATTCTCAAAGATAACCCTCCTCCTGCAGCTTTCTGCTTCATTCTCTCTTTGCCCCTCGCCGTTTGTCCTCCCTTCACAGCTTTGTTCCAGTATCTTCTTGACGAGTTTTTCTAACAGGCTTAAAAACAACAGGATTAGAGAGAATTAAAAAATCCCCTTCTCTCTACAGGCCATCTGCCTGTCCACCTGAGCCAGGGGCTGGACTCTCGGCACGGTGACACACACACACACATACACCTTTCTGCCACACAGTGAACCAAACCAGGGACGGGCTCTATTGTCAAATGCTTTCTCATCATTATTGGTCTTCCTTTGGCTTTGGAGAGTTTTGAACTATGCAAACCCTTAAGCAGCTATGTCGTCACTCGAGAGGAAAGACATGTCTTCTTGATCCCTTTCCGAGTCCACGGATTTAAACCCAATCACGGATTTAACATGAGCAGCGCTTCCTGGAGAAGTGTGTTCTTTTGTGCTCTCTTTAGCCTCACAGTCATAATTTTGAGCAGACTCTCAGGTAAGGAATTGGTAGTAAACCAAATGTTTTCTGCATACTCATGTGCAGCTGAGAAAAAGAAAGTTTTTCAGTATATTTTTTAAAATTTTTTCCCTGTGATTGTACAGATGCCACGCTGGAAGGCTCCTCTATGGGATACCTGGGTAAGCCTTTTTCTCAGGAGCCGGTGGCGTTTCCTCAAATCATCCGGGTGTCTGATGTGAAGGCATCTCACGACGGCCATGCCGTCACCTCTCGAAGGAAAAGGAATATCTTTTATCAGAGTGGACTCAGACTGTGTGGACAAGAGACTGCCGAGGAGGTTGTTGCAAACCATTTAGGCTATTTTCACCTCAGAGGTAAGTGGGCTGGGCTTTGTCTGGAGGCCGAGAGCCGTTGGATCTAATGAGGTACACATTTGGAAAAGGCTACGGTCCGCTCACAGGGTCACTTTACCCAAGTGAAACACAAGAGCACGCTCGGAAAGCAGCACACATCTCAGCAGGTGGCAGCTTTGCCTACCTGCTTTACACCGTGTGGCACATTTCACCCAGATGACATCAAATTACAGGAAACGGGAGCAAAACTTTACAGATAAAGCATCTTCAACAGTTGGTGGCAGGAATGATATATGTGCAACTTAGGGTTTTTGTAATGTATGGATGGCTTTTATAAGTAGAAATAACTAGGGTGCAGTTATAACGGCATATAGAAGCCTCATTAAAATGGGAAAGACGAGGGAGAACGCCCTTCTAGTAATGTAAATATGTGTTCCTCTTCATAAGTCATGAGATGACTCCAAGAAAATAGCTGCAGGCCCAAGCTAAACGTCAGAGATGATTAGAAATGTGACTTTCCTTGCTCTATGAGGCCCAGAGTTTCTGGCCAACTTACATCAAGAGACAATAACAATCACCGTTTCAGAAGAGGAGCAAAGAGAGGCCGACTGAAAACTTTCAGATACTTTCAAATATGAAGCTACATGTCTAAGAAAGAAAGGATTTTGCACAGCAGATAACTGGTTCTTTCAGTCCTTAATTTACGGGAGAGCTGCAAAGTGCAGATAATTAGGAACATAATGACCGCAGCAATCATCCACTGTAACTAGACGCATAAAAAATGCAAAAAGTTTTTTTTTTTTTTAAGAAAGACAGTCTTATTTAATGTTATATAATTTTTAGCTGCAGCAATTATTTTCTAAAGTTACATCAATAGTAGAAGTAGGCGATCAATTACTACATTATTTTATCGGTTTGATTAAATTTAAAATGTAGAAAATGATCATGTAATTAAAAGGTAGTTCATGTCTCTAAACCTATGGCAGCGTCCAAAGATTTAACTGTTTGCAGCGGTTATATCCACAAAAGCCTGTTAAGCCAACTTAGAATAACATGAAGAGAGCGGAGGATGAAAATATGAATTTAATTGTTTTAGCCACAATGTGATGGTGAACTAATAAGATGAGTATTATATGTTGTGGTTCCTGATGGTGGAGGAATGCTTTAAAACCTTTACTAAAACTTCTGCTCGCTGATAAAAATCAAAATAAGACCAGGGCACATCCAGGCCCCAAAACAATTTTACGAAGCAGCAGAAACAGCTGTTGTCGTGGCGTGCCACCGCAGTCATCAAACTCTTTTTAAAGACCCGCTTGATGTTCTTTTAGATGACCTCAGATGAATCAGTCCATCGGAAAATTAAATCACTCCCTCTGGACTCAATTTCACCTTCGTTGTTTCTTTCTGATTTCAGTTTATTCTTTCAACCTGAATGGACAAGATTCCCTCTGTTTTTAATCTCAATCAATAATAATTTAGATCACAGCGCTGAGGTGAATTTTTAAGGGAGGAGTAACCACTTTTTTTTTTTGTTTGTTTTTGCTTCTCTACAGTTTTTGCTCCAGATTTAAATGGCTGTCCATTTGCATCCTCGAGAAAAGCCACACATTATCGACTGAAAGTTTCGCAAAACACGTCTTGGCGTGACTCAGTTTTGACAAAATTAGCAAAAAAGTTAACGCTGTACCAGAAAGTGACATGATTTGAGTCGGCCAGCGAAACACAAATGCTTAAATATGCATCAGAATGAGTGGACTTAGCATCTAGGCTCTGACTTTGTCATTTCATGCCCATGTTGCTCATCATGGTAACCATCTCCTAGAGAATGAGTAGACTGAGCCAGACCTCGAGGCCCGTCGGTGGACGCCGGGTGGTGGAGTGACTGAAAGACAGAATGGTGACATGCAGAAAACCTGCAGCTTGAATGGAGCGCCCAAAGCGATGAGAGATGTTTGTTACTTTCTGTGGAGAGTGAGGAAGGTCAGGTCCACTCATTTATGCAAACTATTTCTGACTTATTTCATGGTGTATGTGTTGTTAGTCTAATCATTTCATTTAAGCAGAAATAAAAAGTTTCCTAAAAACTGAAAATGACTTGTTAAAAAAAGAATGAAATGTGTGCTTCACAGCTGAACACGGCAACCATGTAGAATGTCTGCTTTATTTGGCTCAATGAGACTTTTAGCAAACGGATGCAAAAGTGGGATCTGCCCACAATATGCCGACTGTTTTGACTCGTTAATGCTGCCCGAGCAGCTTCTGTCTGTTTATCTGGCTGTGATAGTAGAAAGTGGGGATTTATTCAGGTCAGGCCTGCAGGCGACGGACCGAACAGCCCTCTGACATTGCAGAGGAGCCCAGCGGGTCGAGCCGTGAAGTAATGTTGCCGTTTGTACATCTTGACTTTTTCTTTGTTTGAATTATTCAAAAATGTTCCCGTGAGAAATTTTACGCCATAATAGGAAGCGGTCGACTTTGTCCCAGTACCACATTGTCAAACAGAAAGGCCTGCGTGTTTGGTTAATCGGTTGATGGCCTCTTTCTCTGGTGACCAGTGTGCCAGGAAACCGTGTGGGAGGCTTTCAAGATCTTCTGGGATCGATTGCCTGAGCAAGACGAGTACCAAAGCTGGATGAGCCGGTGCCAGGAAGGCACAGTCGCTGTGCAGGATATCGGCAGCTATTTTAGCCAGTCAGAGGAGCATCAGGCTCTGGTCAAAGAGGTGAGCATGTACTCTACTGACTTTATGGAAGTGGAAATCTGTGTGAAACCAATATGTCTGCTGGCAGGTTGACACTGAAGTTCCTAACACTGTTTTATGTTTTCAGAGAATGTCGCATTCAGTTTTTAAAAGGTAAAGCAAACCGTCCGCTTGTTTAATGCGTCACTGAAACGTGAATGTTTTCTCACCATGAAGTCTGTGTTTTGGTAAACGTGTCATTCTTCCCACCGTCTGTAGTGAGCCCACCCGGTCCTGGAAGCATATGTGCAGGTAAGGTTGTTAAGGCCATTCAACCTTACCTGTTCATATTCCTACTCATCTGTAATCAAACTCGCCTTCTGATCCCAAGGATTCATAAATTCAGTTGACTGGTTGATCATAGATGTACAGCCAGGGGGGATAATTATGTGCTCCCCTGACGTTTTTCTGCATATAAATGAACAGTATTTACATTAGATTTTCAAAGAGAATATCTATCAAAAATACAAAAATAACATTACTGTTATTGTTAAATCATATTACTCATATTGATGTCATTATGTGAAAATAAGCACATGAGTATTTGCTTCCATTCAGACCTTTTGCAGGATGGAAAAGGTGCCCTGGAAAATGAGCTGCTGTTTTGCCAACTCGACCCCCCTGATCCATTTAAAATACAGGAAATAATCTGACATCCAGAGGACGGATAAAATACAGTGCAGCCTTGCGCAGCACACATAAGTTAGTATCCCTTATTGAAGCTGGAAGCATTGGATGCCTGCTCAGTCCACGTCGGTGCAGCTCCCTGTTGACTCAGCCAATAGAAAAGTTGCCCATATGACCTAATTCAAAACGTGGCATCAACTTTCTGCCACGACGGGGTTTAGGGAAAAAATAAATGTTGTTGTGACTCATTTTATACAAGTTCCTTCAAACAGTTGTTGTAGATGGTGATGGATGTGGGAAAGAAGGATCTCATGTAGCAGTCAGTGTTACAGTGACTCAAGAGAGGCTTCTGACTGAAGACGCTCTGCTGTTGTATGACAGTCTAGCGGACAGGATGCTGAGCGTTGTCTGTAATGTTCTTACAACCAGGAAACACAACCCCAAATTATTTGGGCAGATCATTTCTTCTTGTATTAGTGGAGCAAACCCCCTCCTAAACAAAGATTAACTATTAGAACGATGTCTTTACCGGAAAATTCTAAATATCTCCACCAATTTCAAAGTCCTTATTTTTTATTTATTTATTTTTTTTTGCTTATTTCATTTATTGATATGCACATCAATTTTTTTTAAAGCTTTATCTAACTCACCTTTTCTGGATTCTTGGTAGATATTCTGTCTCTTTGCAATAACATGTTAAAACTCAGGCTGTTCATTTTTTGTAGAAACTTTTAAAGATTAACAGCGGATCAAATAAATATTTCCCTCTCTGTATGCAGGTATTTGTTTGAGTTCCCTTTGTAAAGGATAACATTGTGGCTGTTGTTTTAGCTTGGTCATTTATTAATGCAAATTTTTGCAACTAATTAAATGAAAATAATAATAATAATAATAATAATAATGATAATAATAATAATTTTTCGGCCAAATTATTCATCAGTGACTACCTAAAACATAATTGTAGGAGTCGAATACCCATGTAATCTTTAACATGGTGTAGTTATCAACTAAGACTTTTAAAATTTTGCAGAAAATGTATTGAATTTTGTGTGACAAAATGTGTCAAAAGAAGTTCAGGGTCTCTTAAATTAACTTCATTGATTCATTCTGTTTGACATTGTAATGTAAATAAAACACTAAAATTGTTATATATATGTCTATATATAATATAGACATATTGGAAGTCATTTTACATTGCCTGTTGGACAGTTTGAAGTTATTTTAGATTTCAAATATAATTTGGAACAATTTCTCCCATTATCAAATCATACAATAAAGATCAGTGGAATGATGAAATGAAATTAATGCAATTAAAATTTTGTGGTTACAAAAACGCTACACAACGAAGAGCTAAAAATCGTGATGCTTTCCTTTATACCTTTTATGATGCAAAAATAGCACCCAATACAAAAATGTTTAAATAAGTGATAAGTAATATAGAAAGAGGGTTGTCAAAGAAAAAGGAAAATAGCTGAAAATGTTTTAAATTTTAAGTTTATTGCCGCAGTAAATGATAACTTGTGCTATGTTGTGCTAAATGTAAGGGATAAACCTAATTACATCACATTGTCGCTTCGAACATCTTTGCTATGAGAAAAAAAAATCATTATTTTCTTCTCCTTTGAGATTTATGTTAAAGTAAAATCCACAAAGTTATCTCTTAACTTTTGTTCCCATCTTTACCCACAGTCCACATGATGTTGTAATCTGGGATTAACGCTGTATAAACATTTTTTCTTCCCGTTCTACAGCACACCAACACCAGCGAGTTCAGAAACGGTTGAAGCCCCTGACTTAGGTCAGTGTCACTGCTGATAGCAACCCTGCGACATACTCGCATGCTTATTACAAACCTCATCAGGAACGGTTGTGGTGTCGGAGTTAGCTACTTACTTGTCTTGTTGTGTGTTTAATCCATGAGCTTCACTTTAGTTCAGCTCAGCCTGAGATTCTAGGACAGTTTAGGGTCAACATTTCATCGCGTTGCAACCACAAACTTTAATATATTGGGATTTTACGCGCTGGACCAACACAAAGCTTTAAGTGGAAGGAAAATGACGCACGTGGTTTTTCATCATAATTTGAAAATTGACACTCATTTGTATTCAATACGTTTAATAACTTGTAGCTGTCTGACATCGCCTAATAAGTTAAGAGATTAACTTATTAGTTAAGGTGGAGTGTGTGGAAGTACATCCTCCACCTGTGTGTAGTTGAATCTCAATATAAATGTGTTTCTTGTCTGTGAAGGAGAACATTAGTGAGCAAACGGGATCATGAAGGCCAAGGAGCACTGCAGACAGGCCTGGGAGAAAGTTGTGGACAAGTTTAAAGCAGAGTTGGGTTATAAAACATTAAAATATAAACAGATTATGGAGCACTGTTTGGTCCATCATATCAAAAAGCCATTATCATAAATACATTGAAGTTTCTGTCTGTACTGCGACAAAATGTGGAATAGCTCGTGATGAATACTTTTCCAAAGCATTATATATATATATATATATATATATATATATATATATATATATATATATATATATATATATTATTTTTACAGATAACCTAAACCATTTGTTTTTTTTT